CCTGCAGAAAGTAATACAAGTTTTAAAGGACATAATTTGAACTGGAGAGGATCTGCTAGCGATTGTATCTTGTACTGTAAAATAAACAGGCTTTTACAGCATTTCGAAATCTTTTGGCCACACCAAAACAGAGTTAGATTTCTCCTTTAGTATTTAGTTAAATAGTAAGAATTAATTCATCTAATTTTGATTTTATTTTAGAGTGTTCTCCAAGAAAGAACAAAACCCAATAAATCATTCTCTGTCTTTCTCAGCAGTATATTTAATGCTCTGGAAAATGTCCTTAATTGTACAGCAATCAAAAGTTTTCACTATCTTTCCATGCCAAAGCTAAAATTTCTGATACAAGTAAGAGGGGGTTGGTTTTAGATAGAATTGCATCTCTTTTTCCATCCCAACATCACTAAAACCAGCTATGGGAATGGAGCCAAATTCTTATTAATACACAACTATTGCAAAAATACAAGGACAAATTTATTTTATTTTGTAGTGGCAAATGCTTTTCTCTCCTAATTTTGTGGGAGTGTTTTTCCCCCTACAAGGAATAAATTGCACATTCTGGAAATAAGTTAGTCATTCTGAAGTTCAGAATTCATGAAGCTGTTCCAGCAGAGAATGGATACGGAATTGCAGCAGAATCTCAAGGTCACTGGGAATATTCTTTGGGGTATTCTTATGTGGCTTATCTGTGCTCACATGCCTAATTTTTTTTTCAGTGCAAAGAATAGCCACTTGCAGAGAATGGAAGCCTTAGCCCGGCCCTGTGCCATCCCTTATTCAAGTTCTTTTATACTCCTCTTTTTAAAGAAGCTGTCAAGTTCTTTTCTCAAGCTGACAGGAAAGGCCAAATCTGCAGTACAGGAAGAGAGGCAAAAAAGAAACTTTTTGTGTTGATGTTTTACTAAGTGAGCTAAGGAGAATTTTAGAATCATGTAATTTACTCTGGAGGCATTTACTGTACATAGCTATAGTGATGGTAATTTCTTTCATTGTGGAAGTGAAAAGATAACCATCAATCAGTTGTCAATTGGTCAATTGCAGAAGTGATGAAAAGAAACTGGTAGGAACAATCACTTCTGTGGCTACCTAGACTATTTGGGGTTTTAAGGAAAATATGGGAACTGGAGTCTGTAGAAATGGAGTGAGGTTGGAACATAAAAAAAAATAATTTGTGCAGGGGTAAATGGATCCCCTGTAAATACTGTTGGGTTTTTGGTTTTTTTTGTGCGGAGTATAAGTGCTGCAAAAATAGACAAAGCGGAGTTTGCACCAAAGGACCTTTGAACCAAGCATGTTGCGAACTGGAGATGTGACGTGGTGCAAGTATATGGACTATTTAAATAGAGGTTTGAAAATGGAAGAATTTTTTGTAAAAAATCAGCAAGCAACTGAATTATTTCAATATTGTTATATGCCCAGCAGTAATTGCAGTTATAATGTTATGTGTGAAGGAAAATATGTTTTGTGTTGTTACAGAATAAGAGAGGCATTGTTATGTGTAAGCTGCAAAGTGTTGCAAGAAATAGTATGAGACCAGGTATAGTACTGGTTTTAAATACATAATGTGGAAGTTGTTTTTAAAATGAGCCTGATGGCACAGAATGGCATGAATGCTGTGCATTTAACAGTTACTTAACTAGTGTGAAAGGCACATACTTCATTATAGATGCATATTGCAGTGGGGGGGTAAGCTTAGGACAGAAGTAGGAAAAAGATTAAATTCATTTATTTATGAGAAGAGTTGAAACATTATCGATACGGGGTGGTTTATGCTGTGGTGTTTTGTTTGGGGTTTTCTTCCCCCCTTCTGTGGTAGGTAATAAAAAGGATTACAGGCCCTCCAGAAGGATGAGATATCATCAGTTTGTAATCCAGCCCATGGTTTCCTAGATACCGTATTGTCTATTCTGTTCCGCTATGTGAAAAATGTTGAATATCAACAATGGGTTTCAGTGCTGTATTGTTGAGTTTTGTATGAACTAATCTAGCTTCACTAAAAAAAAAAAAAAAAAAAAAAAAAAAAAAAAAA